ATGTCCAGTTGGCTCACTGTGTGAGTGTGGTGCTGACAACACCAAGTCAAGGGTTAAGATCCCCTTACCAGTCATCTTTATAAAAAAAAAATAAAATAAAGGAAATGTGGGGTTGGAGCCATCAGTGCCATGCCTAGTGAAGCAGTGGCAGCAGGACCACCATGGAGACCCCAGACCTGTGGAGCTACCAGAGTGGAACACCAGCCTGGGAGAGCTGAAGTGTGGCCTAATACAAGGGAAGCCATAGGAGGAGAGCTGCCCAAGGACCTGGGGACCCAACCCCCACACCAATGCTCAGAGGACGTTGAACATGGTGTCAAGGTACCTGATTTGCCAGCTTTGAGGTTTAATGCTTGCCCTTCTGGGTTTTGAACTTGCTTAGCACCTGTTACCCCTTTCTTTTGGCCTATCTCTCCCTTTTGGAATAGGAATATATGCACTATGCTTCTCCCACCATTGTATCTTGGCAGTAGATAACTTGTTTTCATTTCAGAGATAGGACTTTGAACCTTGGACTTCTGAGTTGAAACAAGTTAAGACTTTGGGGATGAAATGAATGTATTTGTGTGTGAAAAGGACATGAGTTTTTGTGGGGTCAGGAGAGGAATGCTGTAGACTGGATGCGCCCCAACCTCATTGAAGCTTAATTCTCACTGTAAATGTTGAGTATGAGAAATCCTATTTTGGTAATTGAAAGGTGAGGCCTTGAAGAGGTAATTGGATTGTAGGACCACATCATAGTGAATGGATTAAAAATGGTGGCCATGGACATAGTTCTGAGGGCTTTAAAAGGGTAGTGCATGAGGAACTGTCTCTCTCTGCTTCCACCATCTTGCAGCGTGAGACCCCTGGGTCACTGTTGCCACCACCAGATGGCCTTCGGACTTCCCAGCCTCAGAAACTGTAAGAAATAAATTTCATTTTCTTAAAATACATCGCCCAGTTCCATGTATTTTGTTATAAGCAACAGAAACAGACTAATACATCAGCTCACCTCTAGATCTCACTTCCCATATGACTGACTATCCATATTTCTCACTGCTGCAGGGGCGGCTTCAGGAATTTTCAAAACACTCATTTTGTTATCTTCGTAAACACTGACATTAAAGATCCCTTCTGGGTGTGGAGTGGACCCAGTCAGACCATTACAGTTAAAATTGTGATACCTAAGGGCCGGCCCGTGGCTCACTTGGGAGAGTGCGGTGCTGATAACACCAAGGCCAAGGGTTAAGATACCCTTACAGGTCATTTAAGAAAAAAGTTGTGGTACCTAATTTTTAACGAGTGAAAAAAACAAACAAACCAACTTTAAAAACATGCCTATTCTGACCCAGCACATCCTTTTCCAGCAACTCAACCTATGGAAAGAGTCAGTGGATAAATGCAAAGATTCAGCTACAGAGGTTGCTTATAAATACAAAAACTGCAGCACTGCTTATAAATACAAAAACTGCAGCACTGCTTATAAATACAAAACCTAGAACCAACCGTAATATTGACCATCAGTGGATTGGTTATATAACTACAGTGGATCTATATAGTAGGATATAGTGGAGTACTGTGTAGCCATGAAAAGAATGTGGTAGAAGAATATGAACAGATGACCATGTGTATATTTTTAATTTTCCTTTCTTTCTTTTTCTTTTTTTGTAAATTAACTTTTTAAATTTTGGGATAATTTTTGATTTACAGAAAAGTTGCAAAGACAGTGCAAAGTTCCTTTATCCCCTTCACCCAGTTTCCCCTAATGACACATTTCACATAATCATAGAACATTTATCAAAATTTGGAGCCAGCCCGTGGCTCACTCGGGGAGAGTGTGGTGCTAATGACACCAAGGCCACNTGGTGCTGACAACACCAAGTCAAGGGTTAAGATCCCCTTACTGGTTATCTTTAAAAAAAATAAATAAATAAAAGAAGGATATGGTACATCTCACTGAATTAAAGGAAAAAGGAAATGACCAGGCTTAGCAAGGACAAAGCCAAGATTGCTCTAGTGTTTGAGACAGTAGGGATTATTAAGGTGGTTTTTTTTTAAAATAGGGAGCCATCACCAGGGTAACTGCTTTGGTCTTTGGGTCACCTGCTTAAGATCTAAACTCCAGGGAGTGTGAATCAGTTGGACCTAGACTGGCTCACACAGCCAGCCCCTGGCCAGTGGATACTCGGGCACCGGGCACCGTGATCAACAGTTCCTTTCCCTTGCCAGGCAGTAGAGAAAAAGTAATTCCCTTAAAGAAAATAGAAATTCTGTACCCCAAAATGCTAGACATAAATGTTGATAAAGCAAAGGAAGTATATCCAGAATAAGTGATTATGTCTAAGATTATGGGTGAATGACTTTTCTTCTCTGTATTTCCCAAATGTTACAAATAAACGTGTACAACTCTTACAACAGCAACAAAAAGCTATTTTAAATATTACAGTGTCTAAATTAACAAAATCACATAAGTAGATTTTAGTCTTGGCAGGCTTACTTTTTGTCTGGATGTTCACATCATAATACCTGGACCAAGACAGTGGCATTGGGGATGGACAGGAAGGGACACAGAGCAGAGATGCTTTAAAGGACAAATCCAAGAGAACTTGGTCCTGACTAGTTACAGGAGATGGCGGAGAAGGGCAAAGTAGAGTCGATTCCAAATTCTCAAGCCGGAGTGACGGGGAAAATGGCGACCCATTGCCAAAAACACTGAAGTGATGGGCACAGGGCTGTGAGCTATCTGGGGTAAGGAAGTTGGTGAGTTGTCCTAGCAAGCGATTTTCACTTTCCTCATCTGACCTCCAGGGCTGACGATGAATCTTCAGAGCCTGTGAACACCAATGTGGTCCTGCGACATGATGGCTTGATCACCTGGGATGCGCCAGCCATCACCAAAAGCTCCTGTGTGGTGGATGTCACCTACTTCCCCTTTGATAACCAGCAGTGCAACCTGACCTTTGGCTCCTGGACCTACAATGGCAACCAGGTGGACATATTCAATGCCCTGGACAGCGGAGATCTCTCTGACTTCATTGAAGACGTGGAATGGGAGGTGCGTGGCATGCCTGCTGTGAAGAATGTGATCTCCTATGGCTGCTGCTCGGAGCCTTACCCGGATGTGACATTCACTCTCCTTCTGAAGAGGAGGTCCTCATTCTACATCGTCAACCTCCTCATCCCGTGTGTCCTCATCTCTTTTCTGGCTCCCTTGAGTTTTTATCTCCCAGCAGCCTCTGGGGAAAAGGTCTCCCTGGGAGTGACCATCCTGTTGGCCATGACTGTATTCCAGCTAATGGTGGCAGAAATCATGCCAGCCTCAGAAAATGTTCCTCTGATTGGTGAGTTCAAGCGTCTTACACTTTGGGCCTAGCAGTGTAGTGACTGCAGCTGTGTGTGTGCCTTTAAATTTGCAACAATTGGGCTAACTTCAGAGTCGACACAGGCGTATAGACATGGCTGTTGGAGTCAGAACTGGTCTTATGGTCTCTGGGTTTACACAAACTAGCAATGAGAGGCCTTCTGGTATAGAACAGCCACTCTCAAAGGGGTGGTCCCTGGACCACAGCATCAGCATCACCCAGGAACTTTTAGAAATACACGGATTCTCAGAGCCCACCCCAGACCTCCTCTAGGTGGGTCCTGGCAATCTGTTTTAAGAAGCCTGGTGATTCTGATGCTATTTCTGTTCAAGTCTGAAAACCACTGACTTAGAAGGTAAGGCTCTAGTTTTGAAGTGAAAGAAACC